CAAAGATTTAGATCCTCCCGAATCACATCAACAAAAAACAATAGAAGGTGTGGATTCGCATATCCCAAAGATGGGATCACAGGCATCGGAAGAGGAATCTCTTAAGAAAGATCAGGAGGTGCAAAAGGATGAGGTATCCGATCTCTTTCAAGAGGCTTTCGGTCCAGCCCCAATGGAGGTAGATTCCTCTTCTTCCCCACAAGATTGTGAAATGGAGGAAGCTACTAGTAATACCGACTCAGTTTTCACAGAGGAACACAGGTTGAAACAATTGGCTGAATGGTTAATTAAAAAACTTAAGACATGTATTGGAGAAGCTACGGTTGAGTTTTGGGATAACTCATACGTTCAACTTTTCAACCTATTAAATAGTAGTCCCAGTCTCAATCTAGTGTTACATCAGGGTCTATTGGAGGGAGCCAGTTGGCCGGTGGTTAGACAACGCATGTCTGACATAGTGTCCGGTATGTTTCAGCCCCCGACATCTTCTAAAGAGGGTGATGCTAAAGAAGAGGGCTGCATGTCAATAGTGCGGGCGGTGTCAGTACTGAAGGAGGTTATGGTTGAAAGTAGTGAGAGTGTAAACCCTCCTCCTCAAACTCCGGAGAAGGTTGAGACCACAATAATGGAAAATATCATAACTATTGAAGAGACAAGTGAGTTGGGTAACTCTTCTTCAGTGGATCTGCACAAAGAGAATGTTGGAGAAAAAGAAGGAAAAACTAAAAATGAAATTTCTACACCACCCCAGATAAAAATTGGGATGAAGGAAAGTAAGGAACGCTCCCCTGTTTCACTAGGGAAGGGGGTGTTAGATTTTGGCAAAAGGCTGAAAATGCGGCATGCATTAAAAAAGGGTCAGGTAACTCAAATACATGATCCTAGAGGTAATTTGTTGATTCCAGTACGGAAGGAAGGTGGAAAATAGGAAGTAGGTTTATCACCAATAGGAAAGGATCAGTATGGGGGGGTGACGCTAAGAGGGTGGTCTACACATGTTGAATATTCGAGTCCAGGAGACAGGACCTTCAAGAGAGATTTGCATGATTTCTTGTCAAAGCATTTTGATCCAGAACCGCAAGCAATTCTTACACTAATGGGTGAAGAAGCCAAGATGTCCAAACGCGATACCTTTGTTAAATTTGAAGATAATAAGGAATCCGGACTTAAATGGTATTCTCATACAACAGTTTGGAGCTTCAGCAACTCAAGATAAAGACAAATGTTTTATGGTCAGTAGTTGAAGTACCATTCTTCCTCGGTTTCATTCTTCGCGGGGGACTGCTCATTTCCTCGTCTGATCTAGATGGAGGAAATTGAGTGAGATTGTAGGTTAGAATTTAATAAACTAATAAAAATTTTAACTGAAAAGATGGAAGCACTGCAGGCCTTTTATGGGAAAAATCATACCTGGTATCGTGCTACCCAGACAGCAGATCTAGATCTCAGGTCTCTCCATGTCAATGGCCTGGCTACAGCAGATGCAGTCAAGCGAAGATCGATTGTATAGCAACTAAGAGAGGTAGGGGGCATTCTTGGCCAGATTTGATTTGCATTCAAGCGACTCACCTCACAGAATCCCCTTCACATTATCGAGCACATAACTTAGTCTGGTCCTATCAGAAATATAAAGCCTATGCAAAGCAGAGTGGGTCAGCAGGGGTGACCATTTGGGTTCCTCCTGATTCCAGGGTAAATGTCATCCATTGGGAGGCCGATCAGGAACAGGGCAGATGAATTTCTGCTTTAGTAATATTGGAAATAGAGGTCATATGTGTTCTTAATATATATGGCCCAAATTATGTAAATGAAAGGAAGGAATTTTTTCATAATATTCGTAATCATATTCCAAAAGAAATACCGATCATAATTGCAGGGGATATCAATGCGGCTCCAGATAGATGGTTGGATAGATGGAAGATCCCTTCACCATGTCCTTCATACATTGAAGAGGATGAACTCATTATCCAACAATTATGTGAAGCTGAGAATCTTTATGACACATATCGCCGTTGTTTTCCACAAGAACGTCTATTTACTTGTATTAGGAATTGTGGCTCCCCCCATCAGACTAGATCCAGGATAGACTTGATCCTTATGTCGGAAGATCTAGATCGTGCCTTAATAGGGGTAAACATCTTTCCTCAAAGCCCGTGGCCAGGGGCAGACCACAAGATGTGCGTCATTCTGCTTTTATTTCCGAAGAAACCAGATCAAGGGAGAAGTTTTTACAAACTCAATTCTTCCCTTCTTAAGAATCCTGATTTTAGATCCTATATTCAAGACGTTTGGAAATTCTGGCATTCCACCAAGGATAAGCAGGACTCTTTTATATCATGGTTTAACAATAACTTGGTTTTCCTAGACAAAAAATGTAATGAATTTTCAAAATTAATAGCAAAACAAAAACACATACGAAAAATAAAAATTCAGGAACAAATTCTAAAATATGAAAAATAACAGTATCCAGAAACATTTTCCCAACCAGTTGATATCCAGAATCTTAAAAACCAACTTCTATCTCTTGCTCAACACCGTTGGCAAGGTCATCTCATCAGAGGCAAACTATCCAGACATCAGTCAGAAGGTCAAATGGACTCTTCATTTCTCCATTGCTCATGCAAGGGGTAAAAAAACAAATATTGAAGCCTTAGTAGACGCTACTAAGTCCCCGCAATCTGAACCTTTCACGTCAGCAGGAAGTCTTAAGGTAGCATATGATTTTTTTAAAAACCTTTTCACATCCACGGTTGATTCTACAATAGTAGAACAAGAAACACAGAGTTTTCTTACGCCTATGACTCAAAAGTTATCCCAGGAGCAAAAATAAAGACTGGAAGACCCAATCACCAAAGAAGAAATCTAGACCGCCCTCTTACAAATGGAGGAAGACAAAACCCCAGGAATTGACGGTCTTCCCAAGGAATTTTGGGAAATTATGTGGCCTTTTTTTACAGATGATCTTATGGAGTATTATAATTATGTGCAGGATTCTGGAAATATGGGGGAGATTGTAGGTCAATGTGTTCTTACTTTGTTATACAAAAAAGGGGATAAGACTAATATAAGGAATTATAGACCAATCACCTTACTTACGGTGGTGTACAAAATGTTAGCTAAAGCTTTTGCTAATCGCTTTATCCCTGTAATGACAGATATTATTCATCCTTCTCAAACAGGTTTTATTCATGGGAGAAACATACAAGATAATATTTTGTTAATTAATGAGATCGTCAAGCTATCTCGCCAAAACCAGCACAATGCTGCATTCATCTTCATAGATTTCGAAAAGGCTTACGATCGTGTAGAATGGAGTTTTTTAGATGCATGCCTAACTAAACTGGATTTGGTCAAAGGATAAAAAAATGAATTCAAATACTTCATTCCAATGCAACAACTCGAATCCAAGTTAATGGCCTACTTTCCCCAGAAATTCAACTTCAGAGATCGGTCAGGCAGGGTGATCCATTAGCCCCCTTTCTTTTTGTAATTATAATGGAAGCTTTCGGGGCTAATCTAAGGGAGAACCGCAACCTTAAGAAACTTAGGATTGCTGGCATTCCAGAGGAAGCAATTCTCATTTATTCCATGTTTGCGGATGACCTAACTATAATGATGGAGGCTTCTTCTGTAGCGGACCCACCAGGTGTGGTGCTCCGCTAGTGACAGAGATGGAGATGGAGGAAGAAGGGGGAGCAAGATGGCACAACGCAGCTCCCACCGCAAGACTCCAACGCACGTACTCCAAAATGTGCAAGTGAGGAATGAGACTGAAAACAGACAATGGCTGGGGTATACCCCAACGGACTGATGGGACTCGACTGGACTGGCTGGTACCGACAGAGGTACCGGCCTGGACTGGCCTACCCCGAATATAACACAGGCCTATGAGAACAGGCCAAGGGGCTGGTCTCACAGGCCAACCCGAGGTCCGCTACACGATCCTCGGTCTGTGATGGATCGCGTAGATACAAACATGCTTCCGCCAAGAAGCGGAACTCTACCAAAGAAAAGAAAACCTGAGTAGTCTAGGATGCGGAGCAAGCTCCATGCTGAGTCCATGCGATGCAACCTATGATATAAAATATCACAAAACAGCAATGTCACAGCTAACAGCCTAAGTGAAAGTAGGAGCAACTAACTAACATACATGTCCTAGGAAAGCAAAAAGTAGTGACAACTAGATCCTAGAATTTTGGAGGCACTAGCCTCAGTCTGGTAACAACTGACTAGTGTATAAGTCCTAAGAACAGCAAAAGCAGAACAGCTAAATCCTAGAAACGTCGGAGGTAGTAGCCTCAGTCTGAGAGCAACAAAGCAATCAACAAGACAACCATATGTCACATGAGAAGTGTGTCACACACCAAAGGGTGGGATGGTCTCTGAGGGTGGCGAATGCAGCCTAGGGGTTGAAAACTCCTAAGGGCATCCACACATAGTGACAGGGGAAAACACATGTCATCGGGCTCAATGAGGGTAGGGAACTGGGAGCGAACAGAACCAATGACCCTAATAGATAGACCATCAGGGCGGGTAATGCTCGACTAAGGGGTGACCGCTATGGAGGGTCGACCATGCAAGGGAACAAGGGAGMCTGGTATACTGGGCGCACCTAGATGAAGCATGCGGGGCTGCCTAACTAGGGCGTGAGGGTCGGCGAAGGGTAGAAAGATGATGGGTAAGGGAATCATGCAAATGACTCCTAAAGTGAGGGAAGTCGGAGCTAGATCCGTAAGATGGGAAGCCAGGGCAACGCTACGGTCCTGATGCCTATGCGTATACCAAGGGAGAGCCCAACTCAAAGGAACCCGGCTAAAGGGAGACCATCATGCGACACAAGCAGGGTACTGTACAGGGTAGAGTGGTAAGAGAGTGGCGACGTTTGAAGTAGGCAGAGCTGATCATGATGAAGTCCATGAAGCTGCCGATGACGTCCACGATGAGAAGTTCGGAATGTCGTCGAGAAAGAGCCGCAGCATCGACGAGCTGAAGTAGCAAAACTGATGTGGATGGAGTACTGAGAAGTCAAAGACGTGGGAAGGTAAGTCAGAGTCAATCGTCGTATCGAGCAGGACGACGACGAGTGCGCTGTGGACGCTCAGAAGCATCCGGCTGCTGCTGAAGGTCTGCCTCAGATGGAGCAGGCTCAACTTCAGCGGTCTCCTCAGCCGGAGGAGAAAGAGGAGGGTCAGTGGGCTGAGGAGGAGCAGTGAACCCAGCACGACGAGCACGGTCATAGGCACGCACCAACATGCGAGCGTGCTGCAAGTGCTCGAGGGGCTCCCAGGTAGCCTCCTCATCAGGGTAACCCTTCCAACGTACGAGATACTCGACGTGGGGAGAGTTATCGTCGGTGACTCGACGACCAATGATGTCTGAAACGAGGAACTCCTCGTGGCCGTCCACCATGATGGGTGGATGGCGCTCGTATGGTCGTCCAGCGAAACGCTCAGACGGTCTGCGGTAAGGACGCAGTAACGAGACGTGGTAGACATCATGTACACGAGCGTGGAGTAGGTAGTCGGGCAGCTTCACACGAAAGCTGACCGGGCTAGATGCCGTATCAGAACCGATAGCCTGGAGGATGCGGCATGGGCCAAATAAGCGACGCCGAAACTTGCGAAGCGTGTCCGCTTCGAGCTGTAAGTGGCGGGCGTTGATAAGCACATCGTCACCGACCTTGAATGGGTGATCCATCCTCGATCGGTTCSCACGTGCTGCCATGCGAGTCTGGGAAGCGGCTATGTGCTCATGTGCGGTCTTCATAATCGACGTCATATGTGCAACCCAATCATCCAGCGCGGGACAACTCRTGTCGGGGTGCATCTGGGACGTTCGAAGGAAGTCCGCGGGAACACGCGGGTGATAGCCGAGGTCGCAATAGTAAGGCGACATCCCCGTGGCTGGCGAGACGGCGTGGTTGGAGGCTATCTCCGTGTGGGCAAGATGGAGATCCCACTGCTGGTTGTCACGAACAATCTTTCGAAGAATATACCCGAGAGTCTTGTTCGTGATCTCAGTCTGACCATCAGTCTGAGGATGGTAAGACGAGGAGAAGCGGAGCTGAGTGCCGTACACCTCGTGGAGCCGTCGCCAGAATCGGCTGGTAAAGCGCGGGTCACGGTCAAATATGATGCTCAGAGGTAAGTCGTGGTCACGCACGACTCGGTCAAATACGATGTCGGCGACCTCACGTGCACTGATGGCATAGATGCACGGAACAAAGCGTGCACGCTTCGTGAAGCGGTCGACGACGACCAGGATAGCATCATGACCGCGGGGGGTCGGAGGTCGAAAAGGACCGATAAAGTCTATCGAGATGGACTGCCAACGACCCTCAGGGATAGGAAGAGGCTGGAGCAAACCATAAGGTAGGTGGTTCGCACTGTTCACCTCCTGATAGGTGGGACACTCTGCGACGTAGTCCTTCACAAAGTCCTTGCGCTTCGGCCAGACGTACAGGCGGCTCACACGAGCCAACGTCTTGTGGAAGCCCATATGACCGGCAACTCCCTGGTCATGGAACTGTGCTACTGCTCGGACACGTAGCTGTCCAGTGGAGGGAACAAAAATACGGGGCTCTCTGGTGCTCTGTGAACCGTGCCAGTACACAAGACCGTTGTCCCCTAGAGAGTAGTTCGGGACGGTCTTGCCACTCCGAAGGGTCGCGTGGATGTCGCGATAGTCGGGGCAGTGGCGGTACTGAGTGCGAAACTCGTCGATCACCGAGTGGTGGACGGTGCTGACCCAGATGGAAGAGAGTTGGATGTGCTCCTGGTCGTGGTCAGGGCGCCGGGATAGTGCATCTGCGACCCGATTAGTCTCACCCTTGATGTGCTCAGTGGTGAAACTAAACTCGGATAGGTCGCGCCACCAGCGAGCCTGTCGAGGAGTGAGCTTTGGCTTTGTTAGAAAAGCTTGGACAACAGAGTTGTCCGTGCGCACCGTGAATGGTGCCCCGTGCAGGTAGTCACGGCATAAACCACTGCGAGAACCTCATGTTCATCAGCAGTGTAGTTTATCTCGGCGGGCAGGAGCTGACGGGAGTAGAAGGCTATCGGACAATCACCTGACCGAGACTCGACAGTACCGTCCTCGGCGATGGTAGGAGAATAGTCAATAGAAGGCTCGTCAGTAGCTGGACGAGTAGGCGTCAGTTGGGAAGCAGTGGTAGGGGTAGGTGGTGGGAAGCGAGGGATACGAGGATGAGAGGAATCAGGAGATGAGGGGAAGACCTGAGAAAGCAYTGCTCCTACAGTGAAGTCTGACACATCTGTGGTAAGGATAAAAGGGCGGTCAAAATCGGGTAGGTGAAGAACCGGTGCGCATGTCACCGCCTTCTTGAGGGCGCGGAAGGCGTCCTCGTGGAGGGGTGTCCAAGCCCAGGGTGGGTTCTTCCGGAGGAGGGTGGAGGTAAGGACGTAGGAATACCTAGCGTATCCCCGGATGAAGTTACTATAGTAGCTGGTCAGGCCTAGGAAGCTGCGAAGCTGCTTGGCGGATGTGGGAGCGGGCCACTCCGCAATAGCAGTGATCTTCGCGTCGTTCATGTGGAGACCCTCGTCAGACACCTAGTGTCCTAAGAAATCCACTTTGTGCTGGGCAAAGCGGCACTTGCTTAGCTTGGCGTAGAAGCCATGTCTGCGCAAGCGGTCAAGGACGTCGCGGAGGTGTCTGAGGTGCTCCTCAAGGGTACGACTATAGACCAGGATATCGTCGAGGTAGACGAGAACGTATTGCTCCAGGATGTCCCTGAAGATGTCGTTCATCGCCCTCTAGAAGGTAGCGGGTGCGTTGGTGAGGCCGAATGGCATCACCGTGAACTCGTAGTG